GCGAGCAACTGTCGCGGGAGCATCTGTCCGGAGAGCACCTTTCATGGAACCCTTATTTCGTCATAAACAAAATTAATATTTCGTTTTTATTCTTGTTCATCGTCTTCAATAGATATATCACTATTTTTATGAATAATATCTTCATCACTAAACAGATCGTCGCCAAACGTTCGAATCTTTTTGGTTGTCGATGGCAACTGTTCTTGCAACCAATAGTCAGCTAAAACCATGAGCCTTCACTTGTTCATATATACAGAGGGTGCTAGATATTGGCAAAACACTTAACGAGTCTGGATCCGAACGGGTCCGAGCCCGAATATATCAAGCCCGGGTCCGGGTCCGGGTCTAGAAAACTAATACCGTCCGGGTTCGGGTCCGACAATTTTGCTTTTCGCGGGTCCGGGCCCATAAAAACCTGAACCCGCTGCTCTCTAAACGACAGGAACCAAAACTACCAATTTACTCTGGCTCTTACATATTTTGTAAATCAAATGTTGTTTTATTGCTGTCATTGTTTTTATTATTTCGAAGTTTGAAAAACAAAATAGTAGACAAATATTAATGAAATTTCATTCTTACATTTGAATCGATATCTTTTTATTTAGATCATCACAATTAAAAAATGATAACTTTGAACACATTCAAATATCGACAATAGTGTTTGAATTAACATAAGAACGATAAAGGATTTCACCTAAAGTCAACTCACCGTTTTACGAAACTTATTGAAGATGAATGAAAATTCATATTGAAGGTTCCAAAAACAAAAACAAATGTTTATTTCATCTCGAAATATCGATACTTCTAACAAAGTTCGAACGAGAATGTTGAAGAAATGTGTTCGAAAAGGAATAAAATAAACCAATCATTTTATACATTGTGTTTCATATTTCAATCTCTTAGAAATTGTTTTGATAGATTTTATGTTTAATTTAGTTATTAATACTTACTTTAAGACCTTTTGCACGATTAATAGCACGTAATGGACGAAGTACACGAAGTACTCGAAGAATTTTGACTACTGACATAGCACGATCTTTAATAACCATAGATATTAATGAAACAGATACAACGACAATATCAAGAATATTAAAACGATTTCGACAAAATGCACCTGGATGAAGTATTAAACCATAAGATATAACCTAATGATAAAATAGATTATTTATTATTCAAATATATATACAATTAGTTTTTTTTTTGTTCATACTTTTAAACAAATTTCAACAGTAAAAACAGCTGTAAAAAAATAATCAGCTGTATTAAGAATCTATTAAAATGAAAAAAAAATTATTAGATAATTATGTTTTTGAAAATTCTTTTTTTTTCTTTTGTTTTTACTCTATTTCGAAATGATTCTGAATCAACTGGATCTTCTGCACCAAGTGAAATACTTGAAAGTAATATACAAACAAGTATTATATATCCAAATGCACGATGATTACAAACACGATGGCAAAATATTCGAAATCTTAAATATTTTCAATGAAAAAATTTCATTTCGAATTAAATCATAATTTACCTATTTGTATGTTGAAATATAAATAATGATGAATATGGTGGAATTGGTTTAACTTTTTCGACGATATTCAATTCAGATAAACGACGCGGTCTAAAATCAAGATTTAAAAAAACAATAATATCGTCAAAACAAAAATAGAGTTTTTTTTTTGTTAGTATTATTTTTCCTGCGAGTTGCAGACCCACTCGAACCGTACTTTGGTTTGCTCAATTAAATTTTGTAATCGACATTGAATAATCGCTTCAGATAACCTCTGTAGATATAATCAGGAGAACGAAGTCTCCGCTATCATTATTTTCTGGCTACCCAATCAACTATTAAGAGGCTTTGAAGACTTATTTAAATCGTTGAATTTACCGTTTACGAGTCAAATATCACTTTCAACTAGGTACCTGTTACCATCCTTGTTCTTGCTGTTTGAAAGACCAACTCTATAAAAATATGTCGTTTTCGTAGCAGTATGTTTTAATGCGTCAGCAAACACTTATGTCGGTATACACTGATTTCACTGGGCCTGTGATCAGTAAACTAAAACTATACATTCCGAATCATGAATAATTGAATATTAAGCTATTAACAATTCTTAATCGAAAATAAACGCTGCATTTATTATATATTCATTCCGACTCAATAATAAACATATATGTGATATAAAAATAATATGATTATTTCTAATCGAATTTCATCATATGTTAAATCAATGAAAATAAAAATTTATTAATGAAGGTTTAAAAAAACAAAAAAAACCTTAATCATCATGATTCATTTACTTTTTATAATTTTATTAGATCAAAGAATTCTTTCAATTCTATAATATATATATATGTAATAATTTAAATTCTAACCTTGCTGTAACTCTTTCTTCATCTTCTTGTTCACCCATTTCATCTTCATTAAGACCTTCGTCAATATTACGATTATTTTGTTCTTGTTTACCAGTTTCACCATTATCTATTGCATTATTTTCTGTTTCTTTACGTAATTTTTCATCTATATTAATATAATAATATTTTAACTACTGAAAATAAATATTTCTCACCTGTTCCTAATGATCCATCACCTTCTCTGAAAAACAAAAAAAAAGAACATTATTAATTCAAGAAATAAAATCTTTAATAAATAAATGCGAAAACATCGGATTTAAATCCGAGTGTTATGTGTACTTCAAAAAGTGAAAAGGTATATTCACTTTGTTTTTTATCATCTGAGACATATCTAGACTATTTGCTTTCTTCATG